GTCTGACCTGAAGGAAAACGCTTTAGTTTTTTTTCAGCGTTTCTTTGTTCAAGTCTCGCTGAAACCCTTTCACGTGGTTCGTGAGACCATTGTCATTAGGATTGTGATGATAATTCAAACCAGAACTATACACATTCGCCACATATGTTCCGTTTGCTGGCTGGACTTTAATTCTAAAATGTTTACACCCCTCATGGCTACAATACGTGTACACGTTGCAATGATATTTAAAATATCTGACATTCTTTGCATTAACAACGCATGAATTGTTTACAGTCCTTATGCGCTTTCTGAACATAACAGGATATTTAGTCTTGTCCAAACGGGATTGACCTCCGAGATCAACATAATTCATAAGAGACCATTCTTCAAATGAAAAGTTGAAAGATCCTTCAAGACACCCCATATCGTTGTAGTCATATTGTTTTGGAAATTGATTTTTTGTTCCCAGAGGTAGAACAACACCAGACTTTACAGGCGTTTTCTTATAGAAAGCATTTCTGAGGGGGCTTGGTACATGTTTTCTATTTGCTTTTTTACATGGGGTAACAAAAACAGATTCATCGGTTATGTTTTCTAGTAGAATTGGAGTACTACTAGGTATTAGTGGATCTCTCTCAGTCCGAATAAAATCAAAGTCTGGCGATGCATTCGTATATTCTAATGAAACATTGTCACTTTCCAGAGGTTCGGAATCTGTGGGCACCGAATAAGAAATGCAATTTTCAAAAGTACCATTAACATTATCAGAATTTTCATTAAAACAAAAAATATTTGAATCAATATTGTCAGTGTTATCCATTGATAGACACGGGGGCAGATTGAGGTACTTTCTACATTCTTTGTACACTTTATTCCTATTAGCATCATTTAGAGATACTCTAATGTTTCTACATATGTCAGTTAGAGTTTTGTGATTGTAATTTACAAAATCGTTAGACGTGTAATTACAATGTTCAATAAATTTGATTATTGTGCTATTATTAATTTCTGATGTATTAGCCACATCAGCGCAATTCATAGTTTCAATACACTTACGAAGAGATGAATTTTTTCTTTTAATAGCATTTACTATTGATTTTCTCAAATTATGATCACCATCTTTCTTAAAAATGAAATTGCAAATATTATTTACACAACTATCGGAAACAGAGACATTCTCAAAATTTAATTCTGGATATTCTGTCTTAATATACTGAGCTACCTCATTCAATTTATGTTTTAAACTCATTATTAAGCTTGCAAATTGTTAACCTACTGTGCCTGATATAAATTCGACGACACTTTTGTAGGAAACTTTTGTATGTCTGATAAATTCAACGACACTTTTGTATGCCTGAAATAATAATTCAACGGCACTTTTGTGTGTCTGATATTGTAATTCAACGACACTTTTATATAACTGAAATAGGAAATTGTACGAAACTTTTGTGTAACTGAGATTGTAATTCAACGACACTTTTATATAACTGAAATAGGAAATTGTACGAAACTTTTGTGTGTCTGAGATTGTAATTCAACGACACTTTTGTATGCCTGATATTGTAATTCAACGACACTTTTGTATGCCTGAAATAATAATTCAACGGCAGATTTGTGTGTCTGATATTGTAATTCAACGACACTTTTGTATATCTAACTATACCTAACTATACCTAACACTAAAATAAAAGATAATTAATTAAAAAATAATTTAATAATAAAAAACACTATAAAAATAAAAACTAAAAAAGAATTAAATTATAAAAAAACACTGTAAAAAATGAAAACTTAAAATAATAAAAACACAATTAAAACAATTTTTAGCAATTAAATGTTTATAATTAGCACTTTGCAGAATAACCGCAGAAAACAAAAGTAAAAGCGCTTGGAATAAATCGAATAATTAATATTTCTAACAATTAAATGTTTAGAATTAGTACTTGGTAGAAACCGCAGAAACACCAAAGTGAGTGTGCAAGGAAAAAGCAGCGGAAAACCGAATTGAATGCGCGAGGAAAAATCCGAAGAAAACCGAATAGAAAATGTGTAGAAAACCCGGATCACTTGCGCCTGAAAAATACATAAATTTCACTTTTAAAATAAAGTATAATAGTATAATAATGTATTCAATAATATTTTACACTTTTAGAAATCATCATTAAACTCGTGACAATGACACACTGGCACACATGGATAATAAATTAAGATATTTTAAGAGAACAAAAATATTAAAGACATAATAATTTTAAATTGAAAAAATAAGTATTACTTGTTAAAAAATTATGTTATTATGAAAACGAACGCTAATTTTAAAATAAATCTTTATAGAAAAGTTATTAATTCTATGATGCCTGTAGCCTGTGCTGACGATTGTCACTTTCAAAATATTGAATACTTAAACAATAAATATTACACATGTATCATTTCAATAATTAAATTAAATTAAGTCTAAAAAGGATACAACAATACTGAGCTAAATAATAAATGCAATAATCCAATCCTGTGTACAACAGTAAATGTAGACTGCATGCCACCTGAAAATTTATGGGAAAATAAATATAATGGGAAGTACAAGAGAAAGTTTAATTTACTTATCATGTCATGAAATCTTGTCATCAGACTTATTTTGCAACAGCTTGCGAGCTGAAATACTAAAAACATGAACTCTCCTTCAATGATAGAACTGTGACTGGATATTATGTTTACAAATAATAAACAACATAGAAATGTTTTTTCATTACTTATGGTATTTAATAGTAATTTAACTAAAGATATTTTTTTTTTTACCCATTTATGAATGAAATATTTCAAATATAAACCATTATAATATGTATGAATATAACTTAAGTATGTTTTAAGTTAATACTGAGGCCACTTAAGATCCAGAATCTGAATAATCAATTACATTAACTATTTGAATAATATATACATTTTAAAATGAATATCTTATAATTTGTTGTTATTGTCAAGAGAATATCAAATATATTTAATAATTAATATTGAAAACTTCAATACTTAGAACTTTAATACGATATTACCTTACACATAGAAACAGTTTCAGTTATTTTAAAATCTGTTAAAAACTATTTCTCATCATGAAAATGATTTATTTACCTATATTTTTACAGTTATACAAACAAGTAACAACTTTGATATAAGTCATAATTTGATATATATTATTATTTATTAAATATTTTACTTACAAAAATAAATAAATATATAAACTCCAAATCCATCTTTTTAATGTACCTAGAATATTTATAATAGGTACATGGGCAGATAACCTGTAAAACATTGGGTAGCAAACACATCCCTACATCCCCATCAAACCAACAATGAAATAAACACAATTGAAATATTATTTTATTTTATTTGATATTGTATAGTGTGAAATTGGTTATTAGTCGGTATTAGCTCTGTACTGTATAAATGAATAATAAAAAATAAAATTTTTATAGGTGTTGAATAATAATAAAAAAAATGTAAATACATAATTATGTAATCTGTACTAAACTACAATAATTGGTTATTTTCTCATTTTAAGGGAGACATAGAGTTTTGCCTATTTTTCGTTTAGACACTACCATTCAGTATGTGGATAGGTAAACGGAACATGACATAATTAAAACAATTAACACAACATAAACTTACCTGTCTCCGTAGAATGTGATCTCTAACAAATGACATCGTTAAACAGTTTACACTTTTAATTAGTTAATGTAAACTGCAAAAGTGCAATGTACATTTGTTAGAACGTGTCTTCGAAATTACTAATTAGGGCAATTTATAACTTCACACACGTACTGATTAATATGGTTTTACAGTATTAGTTCATAGTTATAAATTATACTCTTATGAGTGTACAGTAAAATTATTTATTTATGGGAAACATCCAAAATGGGTGGGAATGTGTTTACATTGAACTTACGATTTTTGTTCGGTAGTTCATGGTGGCTGGCTTGTTCTGGGTGGCGGCGTGCATCCACGGACAACGGCGCGATTATTGGCACGGTACAACTAACAACGTATACTCTGTTTCAAAAGAGAACATACCGTTTTCGAGCATCGCGACTGACGGCTGCCAACCGTCCAGAGCCCAATTTCCCCCACTCTCGCGCTCGATAGTGTACGACGGTCGCCGATCGAAGTGTGCCGACGACTATACACCGTCTCAAATAACTTGTTTACATTTTATATTATATGACCGGCACGCGGCGCGATGGCCGGCGCGTACAGTTACCAGTAGTGTATTCAATTAAAATCATGGATGAAAAACGATTTTGGTTTTTTTATATACATTCTTGTAATTTATAATAGTAACGAGGAATATAGTAATGCTATATTTAATAAATCTAATTATTCTTTTTCTTTAACATAAAATAAACATTTTTTTTCTGGCATAATAGTGTAGTTTTTTTTGTTTTCGTCATTATACTTTTTGGTTTTTTGATTTTTAGTTGTAGAGTTCTATTAGGATTTATTATTTTTAATTTATAATGTGCCCGGTTTTTTTGATTCGTTTGTCACGAATATTAATTTTTTTTCCGAGTTTAACATTAGTAGGTAGTATAAAAAAAATTATTTGAATATTTATTCAATATCTTATTTATATTAGTATTCAAATAATTTTTTTTTATTTGAATACTATTTTAAATACTTTTTGAAAATATTATTCGAATACGAATTATGAGTTTTTTGTTTTTTTTTATTCATTAAGAATTATTAATTTTAAACTCGAAGAATATTTTATATCTGTGGCGAAAAAATCAAAAAAAATACCGGGAAATTATAAATTTAAAAAAATAAATATATTGTAACAGTATTCGAACACTTTCAAGTATTTTAATATGTACCTATTTGGAATAATTTATTATTAATTTGAAGCATTAAAATAATGATTGTATAATAATACACACAGTTTATAATTAATAGGTTTTACAATAATATTTACAATAGTAATTTACATAAAATAAATTTTTCAAGTAATAAATTTAAGAATATTTACATAATTTTATCTTTCAATCTGATAAATAATTGAAATCGTCATCTTCGCTGTCGCTGTTTCCATATGTTGCAACTAATGTTGTGTGCTCAGCCGTCAATTCGTCCACTGTGTCATCGATGCTCCAAAACTTATTTTCTTCATCTATTGTGTGACTTATGAAGTTCTTCCACATTTCAGCGTCAACCTTGTCTATGCCTTCAACCAAAAGATTTTTTACGTCAAACAATTTGAATGACTTGTTGTTTGTTTTCACGTGACGTTTTACAATAGACCAAGCTATCTCAATGGGGTTGAGTTCGCAATGGTAAGGCGGTAACCTTAACACAGTTTTGTTGTGCTGTAAAGCCAACTCGTCAATGGCGTATTTTGAATAAATAGGTTTTATTCTTTTGACAATATCCAAAAGCTCCGGTATTATCATATTATTTGGAAAAACTTCTCCCTTGCTCTGCAGCCATCCAATAATATCAGCCTTTTTCCAGGCTGTTGTCGGGATTTTCTCCAACTTCACTGAGTGGTACGGCGCGTTGTCCATAACTATCACCGCATTATCCTTAAGCCTCGGTAAAACACCTTCAAACCAATCACGGAAAGTATCGCCATTCATTTCATCGTGATAGTCGTTGGTATTTTTCTTCGACTCAAAGCATAATAATGAATCTGGAACAAATCCATCTTCGGAGCCGATGTGACACACTATCAGCCGCTTTCCCTTTCCGGTGGGGTTAACTGCTCCTGTAGTTAGACCCTGTGAAAATGCAGCTCGGCTCGATGTGACCGTCGTATCATTCCACACTCTTATTGGTACATCTCCGGCGTTCACCCACGTTTCGTCGATGTAGTATATCGGACGACCTTCCTCTCGATATTGCCTTATATCCCTGATATACCGTCTACGCCATGCACGAATTTCGTTATTTTCAATCAATGCACTGTTGCGTCCTCTTTTTGTAAAACGGAAACCCATTGATTTTAAAAGACGCCAAAGTGTAGTATTTGAAAATTTCGGTAAAGTGTCATCGTTTGTCACAACATTTAAAATTTTTTTTAAATTTGGCAACTCACGATTCACCCAAAACTGATGCACTTTTCTTCGTATCGCTTCTTTGTCAAAATCGTCAACCTTATCAGTCACGTTTTTAAAAATTTTTTTCCGATTAGGTGATGAAACTGTTTTGGAATTGCGATATTCTGTAATCGTGTTAGAGATCGTCGTAATACCAATGCCTAATTCTTTAGAAAGAAGTGTCCGTACCTGTCTTAACGAAATTTCGGGATTTGCCTCTAATTTACTTTTGTAGGCGTTGATGATCATTGTCCTTTGCCGAGAAGACACAAACTGAAATATTATAAAACTATGTATTACAAAAGAAAATGTATATATTTTTACAATTTTAGATTCTGAGCGGAGCGATGAATGTATTGATTTTACAATGATGTGTTTTTTTTTTTTGTGTCTGTCATCACCTTTTAGGACAGTAAAAATGCTTCGATTTTCTTCAATAGTAACTTTTCTGATAGGAAAATGAATCTAAATGGTACTTTGGGGGGGGGGGGGGGGTCAAAAGTAAAAATTTCCCAGTAATTTTCAAAAGCGCAGTGAAAAACAAATGAAAAATTAAAGAAAAAACGGGAATTTTTACGCAAAATTGGTTTTCCAAAAATTCGATTTTGGTTATTGGTGTAACTCTAAAACAAATGACCGTAGATACATGAGATTTTCACTGGTTGTTTATATTTGCATTTTCTATACACAATAACATTTTCAAAATATTTTGAACTGTTTAGGGACATTTTCATTTTTCATTTTTTTTTAGTTTTTTTTCTAGAAATATCAATAAAATTTTATTTGTTGGTTGCGAAAGCTTGAAAATTTAATAGAAGACTCCTAGTATATTGTTTCAAAGACAGATGAAAAATATTAAAAATCGTTAGTCACAGTTTTTTTTATAAGCATTTAAAGTTCAAAAATTGACAAAATATGGAAAAATCACGAAAATTTCACTGAATGTTTAAATTAGCATTTCCTATACACCATACAATTTTGAAAATATTTTGACTCATTTTGAGCTGTTTACGGACATTTTCAGTTTTCAATTTTTTTAGTTTTTTTTTTATAATTGTCAATAAAAAAAAAATTAAATAAATAAATAAAAAAAATTGTGCCTATGTATTATCATTGTATTTTATTATTATTGGGGAAAAAGAATCCCTGCACTAGGAAAAAAAATCCCCAGTATAGCATTATACCGGGGATTGACTAAATATAAATCATTTATAAGAATTATATTGTTTAATAACTTATATACTTATTAAAAATAAAATAAATATTATATATTATTTCAAAAATTGCTATTTTATAAAAACTATCTTATTCCCTAATAATACAATCAAAAATGCATAAAAAAAAAGGTGGGCAAGTGGGTGTCGCTCTGCTGTACAGTAGGTTACAAGTGGGTCACTGTATAATGGATGGTATTAAATTTGAATTCAATGATCTAATATCATTGTATAAGAAAAACGATTCTGAGCCTTGTATTAAATTTTTACACTTTTTGGCCCAACAGATAAAACTTTATTGATATTTATAGAAAAAAAAACTAAAAAAAATTGAAATCTGTAAATGTCCATAAACAGCTCAAAAAGAGTCAAAATATTTTCAAAATTGTATGGTGTATAGAAAATGCTAATTTAAACATTCAGTGAAATTTTCATGTATCTACAGTTTTTCGTTTTGAATTGCAACAAAATAAGGAAATCGCTACATGAGTAATCGAGTGAATATCCAATGTTGTAAAAATTTGAATTTCAAACGCTCATAAAAATTTAATTTTACTGTCCGGTAGAGATTTTTTTATTGATAAAGGTAGATAATCTTATAAGGAATCTTGTGTTTCATTTTCAAATCTTAGATTTAAAAAGAAAAATATTTACGAATTCTTAACTCAAAATAATTTGCTAATTTTCGTGATTTTTCCATATTTTGTCAATTTTTGAACTTTAAATGCTTATAAAAAAAAATTGTGACTAAGGATTTTTAATATTTTTCATCTGCCTTTGAAACAACATATTAGGAGCCTTCTATTAAATTTTCAAGCTTTCGCAACCAACAAATAAAATTTTATTGATATTTATAGAAAAAAAACTAAAAATAAATGGAAAATGAAAATGTCTCTAAACAGTTCAAAATAAATCAAAATATTTTGAAAATGTTATCGTGTATAGAAAATGCAAATATAAACAACCAGTGAAAATTTCATGTATCTACGGTCATTTGTTTTAAAGTTACACCAAAAACCAAATTCGATTTTTTGGAAAATCGATTTTGCGTAAAAATTCCCGTTTTTCCTTAATTTTTATGTTGTTTTTCCCGGCGCTTGTGAAAACTACTGGAAAATGTTTACTTTTGACCCCCCAAAGTACCAACTAGATTCACTTTCCTATCAGAAAAGGTACTATTGAAGAAAATCGAAGCACTTTTACTGTCCCAAAACGTGATGACAGACACAAAAAAAAATATAAAAATATAAAATATAAAAAAAAACACACATCATTGTAAAACCAATACATTCATCGCTCCGCTCAGAATCTAATAATAACAATAATTAAATATAAATTATTTATAAGAATTATTTTATTAATACATAGCGTATTAATGCTAGTATAAAATAATATTTTATAAATTATGTAGTAGAAATCAAATTAATATTCTATATTATTTTAAAAATTTGTATTTTATAGACAATTTTCTTTTACCTTACATTCTATAATATATAACATTATGTACAACTCTAAATGCTTATAAAAAAAAATGAGGCTATGTAATTTTAGTATTTTTTAATTGCTATTGTAATAATATATCAGGAGCCTTCTATTACATTTTGAAGCTTTTTTAGCCAACAAATAAAATTTTAAAGAAATAAAAACTAAATAAATTGGTAACTGAAAATGTCCGTAAAAGCACAAAATATATTTAAAATTGTATCGTGTATAGAAAATGCTAATCTCAACATTCAATGAAAATTACATGTACCTTGTCATTTGTTTAAGAGTTGGACAAAAATACCAAAATCGATTTGGTCAAAAACCGATGATTTTTGCTTAAAAATTCAAGTTTTTTCTTAATTTGATTTTTTATGCCCAAGGATATTACGAGAAAAACGGCCGTTTTTGATGTTTTTTAAATTACATTTTTTTGAAAATTACTTAAATAAATATTTTCAATATCTTTTATACCATTTATTCGAATATGTATTCTAAATACAAAATATAAGTATTTTCACAAGACTTTATCACAGGTATACCTCAACATTGATATAACATTATAACGGTGCATCCAAATTGCATGCCAAAAAAAATAAATATAAACGTGTGGTGTACAGCATGCAATCCGGACAAAGCCCTCTAAGAGACGGCATGCAATTTGGACATTTTTATTTTTTGGCATGCAATTCGTATGCAGCCCATTATAATGGTTCTTTCAATAGGCGTGCGTGGCAGGTATGCGGAATAGCAGCTGCATGTCTTGAACCCAGAGCACTGAGGGTGCCCTCGGGGCTACGTGTACATTTTTGTATATACGCCATGAAATGCCATATTTGCTTTCTTATACAGTTTTTTGTGTACACATTTTATGTTAAAAATCTTCGTGTACAAAAACTAAACACGTGAGTTTTGATGTTAAATATAATTATGGTATACTATATTATGAGTATATGGCCAACATTTTTTGTATTTTAAGAGAATAATTTTATATTATGATATATATTTATATATAATAATTTACTTATTAGAAAATTTTGATTAGATAATAATTCAACTGTTTTTCTTTTTAAATTTCGGTAAACATACAAAAAAATACCAATATAAAAACTACAACATTTACGTTCACAATAAAATGAAAGTACATTGTACACGTAGAAGTCAACAAGTTAAGTTATTTTCATTAAATTTTGAAACACATAAATTATAAATGTACATTTGAGTGATTATACCTTAATGCTATTATATATAAAACCAAAAATATATTTACCTTTCCTTTTGGATTTGGCTTTTTTGGTGATACGAGATGGTCCTGTTGATTAAATTGGTCCATGATAAATTAATAATGTGAGGAAATATTAATATAATAAAAAACTCGAGTTGTGTGCGTGGAACGTGCTACACGGTAAGCGCAAAAAACGAGAGTCAACAGGGGAATCTATTTGGCACCGGGTGTATATCGGTGACGACGATCGTGAGACCGGAGCGCGCTTGTAGTGAACTGCGTTGCTTGGTGGGGGTATGCGCGGCGGCGGACTAGAATTCGTCGTGCCAGCGGTATGTTCTCTTTTGAAATAGAGTATAGTAGGCTACCGACGTGATCGGCTCGACTTGGTGTGTTTTGGAAAACTTGAATCGGTAGCGGACGGAACTCGCGACGCACCGAGGTGGTGACCGATGTTTGTTTGCCGGGGCAGACTGTAGAATATCCGATATTGACGATACTGGTATATCGTCCGGCTTATTCAGTTTGAGGACAAAGAGTGCTGTAGTTAGTACAGTGATTTGTGTCCGTTCTTAACGATATTTGATATCGTCCGGCTCGCAAGTCACTGTACTCAGCATGTGTCTTGGCGGCTGCCGGCCTATACTTATGTTGTTCGAGGTTCACTGGTCCCGTTTAAAATATCGAAAAGCATCATGTTGCGTTTTTCTTCGTTACGGTTGTTACTTATTCATTTGGCGTACGTTAGAGTACCAAAAATTTGGTTTAGAAGTCGCTGATTAAGAATATCATACTCTCGACTTTGTGCGGTATGTCTTTCTGCAGGAAAACATAGCTTTCCTGCGGGCGGTGCGCTCCTGGATAATCAGGTGTCGATATGCGCTATCTGTGTTGACATATCGCAGTTGCATGCTGTTGATTAGTTGATTTCGCGCGGCGACGATCGATGTTGGTTATTGGTAATAGAGATAACTGAGTGCGCCACATATTTGGTCGCTCCGTTTTATCTCATTAGGTACAGCTTTGTTAATTAGATAGTTAATATTTTATGTAATTTATGCACATATTATTTTTGGTTGGTGTATACTTTTTGTAGATTGTTCTTACTTTAAAAAATATTGTTATATTTTTTGTAGAATGTATATGTTATCACATATACATCTTTGATGTTATTCGGCCACCTTTTTTCAGCAATTGTTGTGTCAATGGCGGAAACCCAATTAGAATGTGCTTGTTTCAGATATGCCATATAATGGCCAGAGCTCGTGTTTTGTACAATATGTAATATAACGGCTTGAGGTTTGTAACGTGCTCCAACAATTTCTAAAGTACTGGACGGTACACCGCTAAGTTTTAAATTGGTTATCTTGTTGGAAACAAATTGTTCGTTTATGAAGGTTGTAGTAAATAATTTTAATTGAATTATTATATATTCATGGGCTAATATTATCTGATGTTTACTTTCACAACCTCCAATGTTATTACAATTATTGCATTTGTAGTCTGATATACTAGACCATACATTTTGATATTATATTTTATATTTTATTATTTGATATTATTTTAAAAGCGGTCGTACTATTATTAAATATTTAATCGGCGATTAATTTCGGGAACTGCGGCATTCAACACATACACATGACTTGGTATTTTTCCTTTCTATTTATATGTACCTACATATATTATCATTTTATCATAAGAAATATTTTGTTTATGTTTAGATATATGTCTAGCTGGATTATCTGTTTCTGTTATTGCGATTTCATTATCGATATAATGAAATATTTATAAATAAGAATATGGACTTGTAAGTACCATTGGTCTTTCACGGCGGTAACATTAGTCAGTTGTCGACTAGTAATCGTCGCCGTCGTACGTAAATGTTTGATTACTGCCGACGTATCTGTGGAATCGTTTTTTTTTACGTACCATACACATTTTTGTGTTAAAAGTCAGAATTATATAACCATAGGTAATAATATTATTTTAAAATGACAAATAATAACGATGATTTGTTACTTCAGTGGTTAAATGAAGAGATTCCGTTAGATAATAATGAGATTACCGACGAAGAATTATCGGATGACGAAGACAATATTACGAAAGGTAAAGATTTTTTTTCTGTAATCGATAATAATCCATCTGAAGAAAATATAGTGACAAATGAATTAGAAATTGAAAATGAAGATAGTTTTGAATTTATTCTGGATAATACTGATATTAATTTTTCAAATATAATTGAGCCAGTAGAACCTGTAGTGATAGCTGTGCCGACTTCTACTCAAATTGTCAATCTCCACGACACTTCTGGCCCTTCTAATAATATCAAATCTCCGCCTTCCAAAAAGCTTAAAAACACTTCAAAAAAAAAAAAGAAGATATCTCACAAATTCGCCGTAAATGGAAAAAGATAACTGTCAAAACATTAGAACCCGATTATTCACTTCCCGATGAACCCGTTGATGGCAAATTCAAGGGGGAAACTGCTACGTCAATATTTTTGGAATTTATCGATGGTTTTATTGATCAACTTGTGTATCAAACAAATTTATATAGTATTCAAAGAGGACGTCCTTTGAATGTAAAACGTTTTGAAATTCTGAACTTCATAGGTATACATTTTTTAATGGGATACAACAAACTGCCAAGTTGGAAACATTATTGGGCAACATCTGATGATTTAAATGTTCCCTGTGTGTCAAATACAATGAGCCGTAATCGATTTGATAATATTTTATCAAATCTTCATGTTCAAGACAACTCATTGATCCCAACAAATAATAAAGATAAACTATTAAAACTTAGGCCTTTGATAAATTACTGTAATGAAATATTTTCTACATCTTACCATGGAACGAGAGAACTAAGTATTGATGAATCGATGATTATTTTTAAAGGTCGTAACTGTATGAAACAATATAATCCTCAAAAACCTATCAAACGCGGATATAAAATATGGTGTTTATCTGACCAAAGGGGATATATAAAAAACTTTAGTATTTATCAAGGCAAAGATGAGCAATTATCTGATGAATTTGAGTCATTTGGTTTGGGTGAGCGTGTTGTATTGAATTTGACGAAAAACGAGTGGAATAAAAATAAAAAATTTTTTTTCGACAATTATTTTACTTCATTGCCATTGCTAGAAAAATTAAAATCAGAAAATTCACTAGCATGTGGAACAATCCGATCAAACCGTAAAGATGTCCCGGAATTATCTGAAGATAAAAAAGCGCCTAGAGGTTCATCAGATTATCGCATTACCAACACTGGTATTGGTGTTTACAAATGGAAAGATACCAAGTATGTTATGTTAGCATCAAATTATCATGGTTCAGAAATAACAACTGTTACAAGAAAGGATAATTGTGGTCGAAAAAAAGATATTCTATGTCCACAAGTTGTTCGTGATTATAATTGTTATATGGGTGGTGTAGATCATGCTGATCAACTTAGAACAACTTACGGTGTTAACAGAAAATCAAAAAAGTGGTGGCACCGAATATTTTGGGGTTTATTAGACATTATGTTTGTAAATTCGTATGTGGTATACAAGCAAATACACGGAAGTATTACTTTATTGGATTTTCATCGTTCAGTCACACAAGGACTTTTGACTTTACGAGAACTTCCTAAATCAAATAAAAGACAGTCAACTTCAACACCAAAAAATAAAGGTCCGGCAACAAAGAAGAGGAGAGGAAAAGAATGGTCAGTGTCAAAAGATGTGCGTTTAACCAATCGAGGAATTCATTGGCCAAAATGTGTTACTAATCGAGGACGTTGTGAAGTTTGTGCTATAAACGGAACTCAATCAAGACCATATTCAAAATGCTCTCATTGCAATGTATTTTTATGCTGTGACGATAAAAAAAATTGTTTTGCGGACTATCATGATATAGATTGTTCATAACTAGTATAACTCATATGCATAAAAAATTATTATACCTAATGTGTTCATAAGCATAATGTAAAATAACTACTTTTTTTTTTAATTATAATATTTTTATTTGACTGATAAGGAGTTATGATTTTCTTTTTATTTAACCAGCATATAAATCGACACCTATTAATTTCCATGATAAAAAAGTTTTTGGTAACAAAATAATTCATATGGTATTGACCTAATAATATAACATTTTTTAGACTAAAATACTTAATTTACACTTAGGAGCTATTGAGGTTTTTAATTTATATGTAAATATTCTAAAAAAAACTTTTACGCTTATTTTTACTAAGAGTAATATTTTTAGAAATAAGAGAAGAACATTTTTTTTTTCTAAAGTCGTAAATAAATTTTGGTATATTCCACATGTTAAAAATTATATGGCAAAATTACTGTTGGTACTTTGAAGTACCATTAAAAAAAAAGCCTAGATGACCGACGGTACTTCCAAGTACCATTATCCTAACTCAAATTTGATTGAAAAAAAAAAAAAAAAATCCAAAAAAAATGTCATTATAGGTCAAATATAACATGTTTATGCAAAAAAAACTTTAAAAAATATTTTAATTCGATGCTTGGTCAACAAAGGGTTCAATTTTTTTAGTTTTTTTTTCTATAAATATCAATTAAGTTTTATCTGTTGGGCCAAAAAGTGTAAAAATTTAATACAAGGCTCCTGATATATTGTTACAATATCAGTTGAAAAATATTAAAAATACATAGGCACAATTTTTTTTTATAAGCATTTAAACATCGAATTTTGACAGAATTTTTCAAAATCTCGAAAATTATTAATCATCGTAATTAATAAATTATAAAATGTTCAGTTTTTATAGCTAAGGATTGAAAATTTAAAACAAGATTCCACGTAAGTAGTTAATTCTCTTACCGAAAAATCTAAAAAATATACAATCACAGTTTATTTTTATAGTCATTTTATGTTCAAATTTGGACGAAATTACATATTAAAAAACCTAGTTATTTTGTTGTGATTATATAATATTTTTCGTTGGTACCTACTTGAAACTTCCAAAGTGTACTATTATATATCTATATTCTATGATAGTATCAGGGTTTGTTATTGATGTTGATGTATAACGTGTTATAAGTACCTAATGGATATTGTGATAATGTGATATGATTAATTTGGAATTTATTAAAG